TTTTGTAATCCTTTATACTTTTATTTTAAGAATATTATTATGAGAAGGGGTCCAGGGACTTCACCTACTGCCAAGGAGGTTCCTGGTCCACAGAGAGACTGTGAACTCTGGGTCCTAAAGGAAATGCCCCACCTCAGCTCGTGAGGTTTCAGGAGGAAACAGGCCAGGCTCTGAGACACCGAACCTGCTCTCTACCTGCGGCGCGGGCTCCTCCAGCGGCCTCTGCAGATACTCCAACAGCACCACGGCCTCCTCCCCGCTCTCCGGGTGCTGCTCCCGCACCCGGGCCTGCAGCCCCGCGGGCAGGATGCTCAGGAACTGCTCCAGCACCAGCAGCTCCAGCATCTGCTCCTTGCTGTGCGTCTCGGGCCGCAGCCACAGCCGGCAGAGCTCATGGAGCTGGCTCAGCGCCTGGCGGGGCCCCCGGGCCTCAGGGTAGCGGAACCCGCGGAAGCGCTGGCGGGACTGTTCCAAACCGGGGGTACGGGTCCCCCTCCAGTTGGCCTCCGCAAAGGCAGAGGCCTCCTGGTCCTCCACCTTTATGACATGAAGCCCTATCCGGTCCTCGGCCGATGGGGTGTCCAGGGCCGCGCTCTCCCCGGACTCTCCCGCCATCCTGGGCCCTGGCAGCACTCGGGCCTCCCTGCAGCTGGAGCTGCTTCCTCAGCAGATTCCTGGAGGGGAAGGTCGCTATCAGCCAGTGGAACGGGCAGTGGCCCATTACGCATACTCAGGAGCCCGAGCGCATCGCCGGGAGCAGCTGCGAAGACTTCGGACCCAAGTTCAGGGGCCTCTGCTTCCAAGGATCTGCAGGGCAAACAGCACTTCAGCTCTGAGCCCAACTGACCGTCCCCTCCTCTGAACAGCCTTTTCACCTGCTTAGGCGGAATGAACTGTCTCCTCCCATGACACCTCCTATCTTCCTGGCAATAGAGTAAGACAGCTCATGGAAAGGGTGTGCTCAAGCGCTCAGTGAACTTCATACTAAAAAATGAAACAACAGCACCTGTGCACCCTCGTTCTCTACTTAAAACTCTGCCCTGCTGGGCTGAGCTTCTTCAAAACAGCTGTCTTTAGCTTACCCGAGAAGTCTTTTGTTCCCCAGGTCCTGACACACATAAAAACGCAGAATAAGTTTGTTGTTGTCTACATGAAAGGAAGAATGAATGTGGCAGCATCAGGTGAAGAGCCGTCTCTGTAAGGGCCTCGCATGAGTTAGTGGGTCCAGGAAATGGAGGAAGGGAGAGGGTAGTGGAGACCACGGTTCACAAGTCACAACTCCCTCTGTCATTAGCCATGACCAGAAGCCATGGGACCTGGGCCTGCCCTGGAATTTCAGGGACGGGGAGCACGGGGATTCCTCTGAACCAGATGGGGTTAGATTTTAAACCCTAAGTGACAAAATCTACTTGACTGGGGTCAAGTGTCAGTAAGCCCCTCTTCACGCTGTAAAACTACGAAATGTAAAGTTGGTAGAGGTTAGTAGGGTGAAAACAATCCCAAGACTATACCTTTCAGAGCTTTTGTTCTTATTCTAACCTTTTGCAGTTCTGAGGATGACAGTGTGGGCAGGATGGAATTTAGGAAACTGAGAGACCCTAGAAAATACTTCCTCCTAATGAGTTGCCACAACAGATCTGGGGCAATGCCACGTGAACGAATAGTGCAAAAATCAGTGTGTCAGTCTCTAGATCCAAGTACCAGCGAGCAAGTACTGACCTTGTTTCCAGGAGCAAAAACGCAACGGCTCCCATCGTCCACGCTTGTCTGTGGGTGTGACCCAAGAATCCCGTCTCCTAAGGCCATGAGGCAGCGACCCAGACGCGCAGGAATGGCCCTACACAAGGGGCACCTGTCCTGGGCCCCACGCTGGGACTCCTGACACCACTCCGAGGGCATCTGACGCCCTTCCAGCCCCTGGGCCTCGGCCAGGGGTCTCCCTCCTCGGAGACCCGGCAGGGCGGCTGAGGGAGGTGCCTCCACCCACCCG